GAAGTAGGGGCTGGGGAGGAGAAGTAATACCTTAGCAGCTCGTAACAGAAGCTCTCGTTCCTGTTCGTCTCTTCGCTTTCTTTCCAGTGAATCCAGCTGCTCAAAGAACTTTAATTGTGTCCGTACATCACTAGTTACTTCATATCTGGAGTCGTTCTGCAGACAGAAACCACAAAACAATAGTCAGAACTACCTTGGATAACCACTCAGACTGTACAGTGCACCACAGATCACAACAGATCTTACATCATTGAAAAATATCGTGGTTCATGCACGTTTGGCTGGTGCGTGTTGAGCATACGCAACCATTTACTACTGTAAGTTTCTGATTTTGCCAATTATTCAAATGAAACGATACAAATTCGGCATGATTTTTTCCACTGGGTAGGAAACATACATGTACCAGACTTATTTTAGGATGAAGTTCCTCATAGGGAAAATTCATTGTGTTGGCCACATGTCTCATACCTAGTGCTGGTATGCAATGCTTACCCGGTAGATTTCCATTCGGTGCTTGGCTATGACTCCAAGTTTCTCCACGAGCCCCTTGAGTCTTTCTTGAGCTGCATGTGAGACCAGCTCCATCATATCGGGTGAGGCCTCCTGGATGCCATGCTTGACACCTGTCGATATTTAAAACATGGCCATTGTTAAATGGCTTGCTCTATTAAACCTAACTACCTCAAGACCCTCAAACTCCAGCTGTAGGTTTTGTCAGGTTTTGACTGATTCAGTGCCATGCATGATAAATTTATTCAACTTAGATTGAAAATTAGTTAGATTGAGAAACAAAGGCCTAGGGTGATGGTGTAGAATTTTGTTTGTGTGGGGACGCACAACGGTTGATTCATGGAATAACTGGCTAGTTGTACCATAAACTGAACTGTGCCTGATTTTGCCAGGGTTGGTCATCAGTATATTGCTGGTATACCAATCCATACCAAATGACTCAAGACTTCAACATTGTTGAGCTGTTAAGGGGGTTAAGGGCTTAAAGGAACAGCTTGAGGGCCTAGCGACATTACTCAATAGGGATAATTGTGGGCATCTCTTCTGGCAATCTGTAGCCTGCAACCCTCCTCCCTAGACAGTGAAATGCACTGATGAATTCAAGTCACCAATTTTAGTCTACAGGGATACCTGGGTTGGACTGGAAGGTTGGAAATACTCACAGATTTTGTTAACTTTGGACTGGAGTGGTGCAGAGAAAAGGAACTTCTCCTCCTTGATGGAGCGGAGTTGGGTACCGATAAAGTCGGCATTGGTTGCGAGGATGCGGGCGCTCTCCTCTGACAGATTGACACCGGCCATGGAAGTGACATCATTGATGTCATCATCATCCCTTCAGAGAAAGAGAATAAAGCTGATCAGAGGTACAGACAAAATCTCGGAATGTGATTCACATTGAGGTTGCAGGATGCACATCCTAGCCATCTTATTTCATAAAGCGACTTAAAAAGGAAGTCTTGCATATGAACGGACACAAAGCGAGAAGAAGAGCCTACTTCTTTCCAATGTTTTGCCAAAACAGAAATGTACAAAAGAACAAAGATGTTCAGAAGGAAAACTGGAAACTTTTGCTTTATCCTGTCATCTGTATTAATCTGATCAGCACTCACAAATGATTCTGAAAGCCAGTTAGTTGGTTCTAGTTCCTACAATGAGAAAACTGTCCTCCTTATGTGGTGAATAATACATGTGCCATCCAAAAGAAAACTGGTGATTTTCAAGGTGAAAATGTAGAGGGGTTATACGAATTTCCACTGTCCAAGATTCAAAAAGATTGTGGTGACTTGCGACACATGCTGATGGGTCACAAACAATAATAGCTTCACAAACACTCTTTATATTCTTTGATTCGTGGAACATACCCGGCGAAATAGGCTGATGCTGAAAAGTGCTTGACTTTGTACACTTCCAGAATAACCGTTCACCAGTCTCATCACAAAATTTGAATTAGTTTCATGTTATCGCCTTTCACAAGGCAAATGACCCAGCCTGAAGGCAGTTTTGGTATTCCTATGTGCCAGCCACCATGCACCAGCAACTCACATCCCATATTGCAGATTACTGCAGTACTCAAGCGCCTTTCACAAGGCAAATGACCCAGCCTGAAGGCAGTTTTGGTATTCCCATGTGCCAGCCACCATACACCAGCAACTCATATCCCATATTGCAGATTACTGCAGTACTCAAGCAGAAACAGAAACATGCGCACACATCATTCATCAACAAACCTTAATACCCGGCCACTTACTTAAATCCAGATGACGAATGGTCCTTGACCTTGTCCTTTTTACTGGTACTGGAGGAGGAGCTACTGCTCTTGCTAGAGGAGGACTTGCTAGAGTGACTCTTGGACTGGCTGGACCGGGAGGAGCTGGAGTGGCTAGGGGTGGGGGACTTGCTGGACGAACTTGTTAACGTCTAGTAAGCGTGATAATAAAGAAAGGAGCTGACCAGCGGTTCGGTTCTGACCATCATGGTCACTACTCTTTGCAAGTACGGTGCGTTCGGCATGTTTTAGTGTGATATGTTACATGTATAGCAACATCTGGCGACGAGACTGGACCACTTGCATGGCTATTGAATTCATCATCGATGTGATGAAAAGTCGGTTACACTCTTTCTATTCAGTAAGTTGAAAACCACACTGTCAAAGTAAAATGAGAATGCTGGTGCATCCTTCATATATGAACTTTTTACAACTGAAATGGGACTAACACAAATATATAAATGCTTATTTACAAAAAAACCAGCAGACATGTTATTTTGAGATTGAAGGTATTGCCAATGAATGGATTAATAATGAGACTAGTAAACCATTCATGATGAAATATCTATGGTAAGCTAAGATGGCAGTTCTCATTTTGTGTGAGTACCAATGCAAATAGCAATCTGTAATGAGAAATGTAGAGCTTCTGCTACAAATGTACATCATTTGATATACATTTAAGCTTGTGTAAATAGCATGTACTTTGCAAAAGTATCCTGAAAATGGCATTTCATTTTGCCTGTGCAATCATGCTTATTACAAGCTGGCCTTAAATTTGTCAGAATGGCACTCTTGGTTCAAACGACGACAAGACAACCTGCCACCTAGCGACTGACCATCTCGCATCCAACACACACCTGTGGCTTAGACTTCTGGGCAAAACTCTGAAGCTGTGTGACCTTCATATTCTGCTGTTTGCTCTTGGCCGCTGCCTGCTGCTGCTGCAGGTGAAGTTGCTGCAACTGCTGCGGCGTCAGGTTGAGCGTGGGGGCTTTGCCCGGTCCCGTGGCCAGGGTGGAGACGAGGGTTGGCTGGGAAGCCGCAATGCTAGACAAAGTCCCTGTGGTGGCTGGACTGGACGAATCCATGGTCTGCGCTGCTGTGATGGTGGGTGCGCTCAGCCCTTGGATCTGTAAGGACCCGCCTTTTTGAAGTGTCTGGCGAAGCAGGGGCAAACTTTTCTGAAAGAGGGAGTGAGATGGAACAAAAGCTGTAAGTATGCTCCCACAAATGAAAAAGTTCAAATGACCAAACAGCTTTGTGCGTATGAGTAATGACAGTCTCCACATGCTTTTTTTCTGAATAAATTTTCAAAAGGTTGTCCAAGACCAGTTTAAAACAAATTGAACTGTTTGGCCTGTTAGTCCCTAAACCTTGGTTTTTTACAATCTCTTTTTTCTACTGCATCCAACAGAATCCAATGACAGCAAAACAACTCTTACAATGTTGTGTGACCTGTTGAATCCAAAGGATCCCAACACTGCGGCAGTGTGAAGACTGCAGGATCCAACAACAGGCCTAACTTTTTTTCCTGAATAGCCCACCGGGCTAGTAAACTGGGTATTTTACTAGCCCGTTTGGAGTTCTACTAGCTCGTATGCAAAAAAAAAGAAAACCCAATATTGTTGTTAGCTTTAATACCAATGAAGAAAGTAAACTGCTGATGTGAAAAATGAGAGGCACGATTTGCTGTATGCCACATGCACTTGTAGTGAAAGGTTTTGCAATCATGCATTTATTATCACCAAGAGCAATACATGTGCATTGATCTAAATTTTAACACTACAGGTAGGTTCTATACTGATTTTTCCACTAGCCCACCGGGCAACCAAGGAACCAAGTCTAGATAGCCTGGAGCACTTTTCGCTAGAATTTGTATGCCGGACTAGTACTTTTTCGAGGCCTGCAACAATACAATGTGTAAAGGAAAACAAGTTGGCTGCCTGCTGAATTGGACAGGACCCATGCAATGTGTTGTGCAAAGCCTGCAAAATCCCATAGACTCTTACATCCAGTACTGGATTCCACTGAACAGTATTATTCAAAGATTTGGCCTTTGTTCAGCAAGCTCCAGCAGCAACATTCTGATGGAGCACACTAAGTCTTATCATTAACATACTGTCATCTGATTGGTCATTTGCAGAAGACGTCACTTGTCAACTGCAGCTTGTCAAGGCACATCTTTCGTCTTTCTCCTTCTCTGAGATTGCTAAAAATGTGTAGTTTAAGCTCATATGTAAAAAATCTAAACATGTTTATCTTGCTGGTCGGTTGTTCAATCACAATTTTCCTCTTACAATTTGCTCTCATTTTATTACTTCATTGTTTTGACATTGTTTGTAATTGTTGCCGTCATTTTAATGTGTGTGATTTTAAAGAAGTCAGCACATTATTTCTAATCTAAACAGGTTTTTAGAAATAGGTATTTTTAGCTGTTTTTCTCAGTTTTTCAGTCTTGCAATGTTTACTTGTTCCATGGGGCTATTCAAACAAAATGCAGAATATCATAATGTTTCTTAACAGAACAAAAACTTCTGCATTGAAGAGTGTAATTTATTACAAAATCCTGTCTGCCCCTAACAAACAAATAGGAACTGTCAGATAGGGCCCAGCCCAGTTCAAACATACTGTTCGATCTTACTATCACTCTTCACTCCTGTATTCAATCTTCAGCACACTGCTGAATGGCGTACATTGCAATAACACAGACATAATTTTGCAGCACACACTATTTACTATGTAACGTGTCATGTACTGAAAGTAGAGTGCTTGGCATCAACATGTGCTGTGCATACCCAGTGGACACAATTTGGATTCAGTTACTGAACTTTTCAGATAGGCGTACATACCTTCAGGAAGGGAATAAGGTAGGGTTGAGGGGAGGACTTCAATTCCTTCTGAAGTTTCAAGGTGAACTCTTCAGGTTCCGTTTTACCGTCCTATAGAAAACAACAAATTATTGGCGTTACAATGGGTGTTACCATCATTGAGACATAAATGCTAGGCCTCCAAGACTCTTGAAACTCACTAAAGAGAGACAATGGAAGACTGAGGGATCAAGGCATGTTTAGTGGCTTGCGGCAGTTAAGCCAACTGGTGTGAACTGACTTTTTTAACTTCCTTGATATTTGTGTTAAGGGCCTTTCCAGAATTTCCAACATTTTCAAGTGATTTTTACAGGACCTGAAATCATCAACCCTAAAAAAGCCAGGAGGTTGTTTGTTAAAATCTTGCTGTCATTTTGACGTCAATTTGGTGAAAATTGGATAGGCCAAAAATGTATGAACTTTTTTCATTGACGTGTTTGATGTAAATGTATGTGGGCTTACACTTATAGGCCCTTTAACTTCTCATGATTGTAACAACAAACCTGTCGGCTAGATTGATTCCAAACGTCACACTTGTAATGATAATGAGTTCCTTTACATTCATGCTAAATTTTAAAAAATGTGGGTATGGGACAGCTGAATCCTTGGGGGTGGATGGGATTTTCCCCCTCCCCGAACTGTGAGTGGGTCCAAAAGTGGTGGGGTATGCAAACCTGCTACAGTTACATGTATGTTATTCTTGTCAACACAAAAACATCACACTCACAATCAAATTCTGTACAAGTTCTTTGACATTCTTGACGGTTTCTGCCGGCTGGTTACCATTGGATGCCAACTTTATCAATGTTGTCAGAAAGTTCCGGCACTTCTTAACATTTTCCATGGCAGACTGAGACATTGGTATGGGCTGGGGCTGGGCACCAACTACAACTGGCTGTCCCACACCGGGCGTCCCACCAACACAAACGGCACGCTGCACCCCGGATACCGTCACGGCCACAGTCCCACCCGCTGACACACCCACCATCTTGGGGGTGGCCGCTTGCACCCCTTGGCCACTTATGCTGACAGGCGATCTGGGGCCATCAGCTTTGGACACAAACGTCACGGGCGATCCTCCCACCATGACCTGGGCGCCTCCCTTCAGCTGACCCACAGTTGCATTGGTGGTGTTCAGAAGCTGACCCACGTTAGGCCGTACAGGTATGCTGGACTGGACAGCAGAGGTGGACTGGGAACTAGGTCTCTGTAATGCTGGGGAGCCAGGCTATAAAAGTGAAAGGTGCAAATGGAACATCTGTCAGTTTAGTCATTATGGTCTTGTAATATGCAATGAGCAAGTTTAGTATTAAGAGAGGGTCTGCTCAAAATAAAGCTTGTCGCAGGTTGGTTGAGAACATGCGGCCACACCCCAACTCCCAGGAACTGAACATGTTCAGGTTACCATGATCTCAGGTGCCTTATTCCCCAATGCCCTTTGCTTTTTGAAATACTGAACTGGTTTACTACCAAAGAGAGCCTACCTTGCATATGTTACTATCCTCTTTCAACTACCACAGTATACCATTTTATTTTCGGAGTCTACTAATAGAGCAACTGTCTACAGCTTGAAAACAAAAATTACCTAAACAGATTACAATTTTTGCACTTTAAAATTTCGGAAGCTTGGGGCAAATAAATGTGCCTGTAAATGCAGGGCTTCAAAACCATTTAGAATTGTCTTTCAGAAAGACATGTACGTCAATTCCCAGGTTGTAATTTGTTATTGGAGCGTGATCCCTGGCTACATGGGATGGTGTTTCAGGTTTAATGGCTTCTAGCTAGCGCCCCAAACATATTGACAGATGGGAATAGCCATGATGATTCAGGGGCTGGATATCTCGGTTGGTAGAGCAATAGATACGAAGGTCGCAGGTTCAAATTGTGCTTCAGTCAATTCTTTGTTCATCTCTTTATTATCATTTAAAAGTGCCTAGTCAGTTTCCCCATATACATGTATTTTGTTTCACATTTTTTTTTCCAAATTACAAAAGAGAAAAAGTGAGGAATTGGGTAGGCCCAGACCTGAATCTGCACAAATTCCAACACTGCTTAGTTAGAGTACAGTCACATGAATGCCCCTTTATCACTTTGTACATGTACTTTGTATGATGGGTTTGTAAAAGTAAGTGATTTTGGCCTAACCATACAAACTCAGCTGGGCCAACAGGATTCCTTTCAAAATCAAAATGAACTTGAGTTTGGATGACAGTCTGGATCCTGGACTACAAGAACGTATTTGACCTTTCTGCAGCAGGGCTACATACCTGCACCTGTCTGAATGTGACAGCCCCTGGCACTGTCCCACTTGGTAAATGCTGTATTTGGCTCCCAGGGCCAATTGAACTGTTCACCACAGCATGGATGTTACCGTCCTTGTTTATCAACATGACACCTGGAGGTAAAGATGTACCCTGTGGCAGACGAAACTGCACAGCTCCACCACCAGGCGTTCGGGGAGCGATTACTTGTGGTGACGTTAATCGTACATGTTGCACCTGAGGGCTTGCAGCGATAAGGTTAGGCTGTCCAGAAGTGGCAACGCTTGACAGTTTCACTTGGGATACGGTCGTGGTTGCCAGGGTGACAACTGAACCGCTGGAAGCATTGGACTTGATGCTGGGAGTTTGAACCTGTAATGAAGGCGCAGGCCGCAGAACTATCTGGGGCTGCGTAGTGGCTGCACTCACAGGTGATGCCGTTTGGTGCGGTGTTGGGGCTACAACAGCTGTTTTAATGGGTTGCTTTGCACCGGTTGTCAGATGTTCCCTTATTGTTTGTGCTGAGTTGGCCTGACTCTGTCCACTGATTCCTGTGCTCGGTGCTGAGCCAGAACTTAAGACACTGCTTGTTACTGTAGTCAGTGCTGTGCCGGATTGTGTTACTGGTTGTCCTTGCTGTTGCACACTGCCTAATTTCACAACTGTTCTTGCTTTCGAATCTAGCACTGCACTTTTGACAACACTGATGTTGGATATATTTGCAGCAGTTGAAACAGTAGTTAATGCGGTGCCACCCGGTAGTGTAATGACTCGTACACACGTTGGTGGTGTAGGACTGGGAGCAGACGGCGTTGGCTTGGCGCTGCTGGAGTTGGCAACGGCACTGTTGATTGCGATCCCATTCCCAGGGCGATTATTGCTCTCCTGAACTGCTGGCGCTGTGCTTGGATTCTGCTCCTTACTGTTCTGGGCATTAGCAGCAGTTCCAGAAGCAATGGAGGCGAGGTTGTCGGGGGCCTTATCCCCGCCAGAGGAGGGCTGTTGCAAAGTTGCCGTGACCACGACGGTGGGGACCGCGGCGGCCGTACCCGGTCCATCTTGGCCCGCGTTGATTTGCGATGCGGTCGGGTGCGTTGAATTCTCGGTCACGTCCCCTGGAGTTGCACCAGGTTTGCTCACATGATTTGAGCCAACAGCGGCTGTATCGAGTGAACTGGAAGTTGCTGCAGTGTTTCCAGCAGCGAGTTTAGACTCAAGTGATCCAATCAGTGCGCTTACTGCTGTTTCGTCGACCACAGACGAAAGAATATCTTCGATGGACGTTGTGCCCGCCATCTTTACCCCGCGATGGCATAAAAGATAATGAAAGAGCGCATGCGTGAAGATACTATTATGGGATTTGTCAGCTGACGAGAGGGCGCTAGACATTCTCAGGCTTCGTCGTAACATCTTACGGCTATGGCTGGAAACAACACGTGTGTTTACGGTTAGCCATTGGCTGGAGGCTGCAGTCACTTTCGTGTCCACGTACGTTATTTACGGCCATAGCCACTTGATATGAACAAGGTACGGCTTCACAGACGTTGATGGCTCGACCGCCGCTCATAATGAGCCCCTTTTTTGTCAAGGTCATGGGCGAAAGTTGACGGGTGGGGCGTGCAGATCCATGGGTGTATTAGGTATAGGTAGGCGGAGGTTTGCTGGAATTGAACCACAAAATCAGAAAGGAATAGGCAAACATTTAAAAAAAAAGTTCACGTTCACGTGATATCTCACTTTTAACTGACGGTGCGTGTTGCGGCCGATCGAACGGTACAGTGACCAGAAGAGGAGGTGTGTTGAATGATTCACGATCATAGGCAGCCGCGTGTCTAGCTTTTGCATCGGAGGGGGGGGGATTCAAAAGTGATGTGTCTTCTGGCTTATTCAACATGATGTTTTGGGGAGAAAAAATATCCAAAGCCTTACGTCCTGACATTCTTGCTTTTATGTAGTAGTGTTGTTTCGTTAGGGTTTTAGTGTTAATATTTAAAGAACATAATATTACTATTATTAAACTAAAAACGTTCGGAAGCAGGGTGCTCTCCCCCCAGCCCTCTCTGAATACTCATGAGTATTATGTGCTTCGGATTGTCTCCTCGTTCGTCATTAGCCGCACCATACACGCGAGCTATCCGTTCCAATAGCTGTTTTTCGCCTAAAACTGCCTGCGCAGGCCAAATCACACGTGATTTGCATGCACTCAAATTCTCTATATGAAATACAGCATTTTGTGTCAAATGAACTTGATGATTTGTAGAAAAGACAGGTTTAGGCGAGCACAGAAAATACCCGATGCGTCTGAGTGGGATTTGGAAGAAATCGGTGCCTGAAAACGATCTATTTTTCGAGTTGTGCCGTAAGCATCGATATTTCGAAATGGCGAGGGGTTTCAAGATTAGGGGGGATTTTAGGGGTGACCTTCTGTGGATACAAATATCTTCAGAAGTCATCGGTTAACGAATGAAAATTATTTTAAAAAGGAAATGAAAACTCATGAACCAGGCTTTAATTTGACGCGCGTCTCGCTTGAGAAACTCGTTAGTATTTTTCTGTAGGCTATTTTTTAAAGCTCGGGTATTTCTCACTGTTGGCTATGGCAATTTATTTAGTGGTGTGCAACCTATTGGGGTGCAGTCCACTAATTCATGTGAGAATTTCTGGCCAGCTCATTAGCATTAAAAGTGCCCAAACAATATCTTCTTATAAAGAATATGACCCCCAAAATGGCGAAATTGTGCAAATCGTTGCCAGAATCAACTCCCTGGGACTCTGTGCTTTCATCTGAGTGAAGAATGGCTGAAAAAATACGGTTGAAAATGGTCCTCAGTGCCAGAAAAAATTGAGGGTTGTCACTTTAAAAATGCCTGCAAGCAGACTTCGGAAATATCACTTTTCGGGGGGTGACATTGTTTTGTGGAAATAACAAGTTCTACTTTGACAAGCTGGTTGAAGGATAGCGACAATCAATTGAATTTAAATCTTCAAAGAGCACCTTCCTGTCTCAGTTAACCTTACTTTCAACTTTGTTTCACGATTTTCACACTAGGAGTATATTCGTGGGCACAACTGTGATGCTGCCCTGGGAGTAAGCCTCAATGCAAGATAGTATTGATAGGAAGAAGCCCACTTGTACTGATGTATTCACATTTAATCTTCACACAACGAAAAATACGACAACTTAAGGTCACAAAGGTTCAAAATGAATTACAGCATGGGAGGAAAAGTGCTCACTTTTCCACTACATCTTTACAGAGAAGCAATTTCCTATAAAGAGGCACCATTCACAGGACATCATGGCAAGGTGTCTGAAGAACTACACCACAGATCAGATCCACCACATAAGATAACGTGTAGTTTTGCTACGTGATGCGCTATTTGTAGCGTTTTGGTCACTCAGTCTTTACACAGAAACATTCTGTGCAGTAAGGTTAGTTGTTTTGTTATATCCGTAACAGGAACAGCGAAGAGCAGCTTCTTTGAAATAGCCAAATGGTTTAAGTCGCGGTTTTCAGATCGTTAGGCGCTGGGTTCGAATCCCAGCGGTAGCGTTTTATTTTCCCAACGCTTGCTGTCAGTCAGTAGCTATAAGAGACGTTAAATTCACCCCGTCAAATACCATCAGTACCTTAGCCTACCGGGTAAGCTCTTCTGT